AACGCGCTATTTTTCTATATCCATCTCTCTCGCACGCGACACTTATCGAGAGTCCACTGTACTCACAATAGTATGATAAAGCCACTAGGTATAACCCCCTGTCAGCCGGACCTCGATCCGCCACTGACCTTTTGTTTCATAATTTTAAAATTTTTGATTTGGTTCTTTGATGTATTTCTCTAACGGGTTATTCGTAAAATTACAGCCCAATGGGCTGGAATTTCGTCCGTTTGGCTCTTTCTCCCACTGTTTAGGCGCTAAAGGGAGTCTCTCTAATAGAAATGGCCCTAAAACAAAATGACCGTTTAAACTCAATATGGCTCCCTTAGTACCTCATTAAACTAGAACCCTTAGGGCCAATATTTCGTTTGGTCGGCTCCATCTCTTACCCTTTGGGCACTGAAGGGTGTTTCTTACCAAAATGCCCCCCATCAAAAAAAAAAATTAAAAAAAAAAAAATACATTGTTAAAAAATTTCTCTTAAATTTAAAAACATTTATGGTTTGAAAATTCATAGCATGTGTTGGGAAAAGTTCAATAAAGAGAGTGATCATCTGAGGAAAGGCCGTCCGCTACCTGTAGACTTCGCTCACCCGCGCAGCTCGGCCGCTTTTCGTGCACACGGAAAAAAATTACTTCGTTGTGACGATCAGTTATGTTTGGTAGGCTAAATTCGAAAGCTGGAATCGAGAATCCGAAACCCACAACCAAGGGTTGGTCGCTACGACCGGACACGCACGAATAGAACAAACTCCAGCTTGGTTCTATTCGTAAGAAGTGTCCGGTCGTGACAACCAGCTGTTGCTTGTGAGTATCGGATCGGATTCTCGATTCCAGCTATCAAATTTAGCCTACCAAGCAGAACTGATGTCGACTTCGCTTGGAGGCACTGTTTTTTCTCCAAACAGTACGCAAAGTTTCATAATTTTGTCATTTTTCATAGGAGAAAATTGTGACACTTTACTGGTCATTTTATGGCCCGTTTTATGACACTTGCATTTGCAAAACTCTTAATTTTGTCATAAAATGCTGTCATATATGTGTCATAAACCCATCGATTTGTCAGATAGGAGTCGACAAAATTATGACTAATGCATCCCCTATATTTCTACGCGAGTAGATGTGTCTAAATGAATGTCTATGATGTTTTTGGACGAAATAAGGTCAATCTGGAACACCTATAAAGTCTACAAATGCCTTTTGAAATAGATATCTAAAAGTAGATCACGTTAGATATCTACAACGTCTCAAATCGGTAAATATCGTCAGGCGTTGTTTTACGAAAAATCGCTCTTTCAATGAATATCGCAATGAGTACGAAATTTGGTCGACCGATCGTAATGCTCTATCCTGAGTTAACTTTAAGCCACAGTAATGATTATAACGACACATCTATTGAGATAGTTCTGATTTCCGAGCTGATTTCTGCCGCTATATGGCTCTCCAAGTATAAAAGTACATTTTACAGTCTTTTCGTGCCAAAGCACGGAGAGAACACTTTTTGTCACGGTTTGAACTCTGACCTCTGTGTTCGTCTGTCTGTCTGTCCGTTCCCCAAGAAGGACGTAAGCTAGAGGTTTGAAATTTTCAGGGTATTATTGTTGTCACTTCTGGGCAACGAAGCGGTTGGTGCAAATCCTGGCAACCACCC